ATCTATTGTGTTATGTGTATTTAAAATACAAGTGTTTATATCAGACAACATGATGTTACTTATATAATTTGTGAAATATATACTTACAAGTCTCTTGCGATATTCTCCAATTGAAATAGAGCCACCCGTGTGAGTCCCAGCAGCAACTTCATGGCCACCACGACGATTCTTTGAATTTGTTTCTGACTTTTTAATAGACTCATCAGTTCCCCAAAGTTGCATCCATTTTTCCCACACATGCTCAGGTACATAACCTGGCCTAATTCCTCCCCCTTTTATTTTAGAAATGAAATTCTTGTATTTTATTGCTGCCTTAGCCAACCAGTGTCTCTTCACTTCACTTTCACTAATGGAAACATCCCAATAGAATTTTTTCTGAAATAAATTTTAAAAGTAATACATTAATATCCTATCTATAAATGTGAATATACTTTCCAAATTCACTTACGATGAAAAGTCATACCTTGAATTCTCCAAAATAACCATCTTTTACATCATTTGAAACACTTCTCCAATTGATTCCATTGGGATCAACTTCATATCTAAAAGACTTGGTTATGAAACTAGAGCATGTTATAGAAGGTTCCAACCTGTGTAAATCAAAAGTAATGTGTAAATCAAAAGTAATATTAGTATCTGACATTATATATTTAAGTTCTAATAGAAAGAATACTCAAATTATATTAGGCTACCAAATTTCCAGATCCATCAATTGTTCACTATATTAGTTGAATTGAAACAATCTAACACTACTCGACATGTTTACATGACAAAAAATTATGAGGATATAAGCAAAGAGTGAACTAACCCTGCAGAAGTTAGAAAAATATGGGTCCGTGTGTGGCTACTACTAGAATCACCTTCAGCAATTGTGTTTCTATGACCTGTTGGGTTGCTTTGAGTGGATATACCACCTTCAGCAGTTGGGTTGCTTTGAGTGGATATATCACCTTCAGCAGTTGGGTTGCCATGACATGTTGGGATGCTCTGAGTAGACAGATCCTGAGCTATTGGATTACTCTGATTTTGTGTAACTGGAGGTGTCTCAGATATGGTTGGGGTGTTAATTTGAGCTGATGCGTCAATGATTGGGGTACCACCTTGGTTAGGAGAAACTATAGTGGGCATTGGAATAGTTGGCATGCTTACGTGAATAGCAAGATTACTCCTACCTAAGGACTTGCCACGACCTCTGCCTCGAGCCATACCTAAAAATAAATATAAAAGTGTAGTTAGACCATCACTGGTACAAAATAAAATTAAGCATAACCCATAATAATGATAAGAAGTATTGCAACAACAGAACCTAGAGTGAAACATTTATCATTACTATAAATCAAATTAAGCTACCTCGCTAAAGTATTTTCCAATTAAGTGAAAGTGTGCTAAAATATTAAAAATACCTCTAAAAGAGCTAACAGATCAACTGGAACAACTTATGCCTGCAAATATAGGAGTGAAATAGTTAGCATAGTGTTTAACCACATGGAGAAGAGATCAGATAAGAAAAGAAACAAATTAGCAAACTGGAGAAGCCTTTTAAGAGACTGAAATATTGAATACCATCAGATCATGTGCTTCTGATAGGACACCTAAACCTGATGGTTATATTAACACAACAAATAGATATATTTAAAGTTAAAAATAATAAATAGAACACACATGATTAAAATTCAAAAGTTACCTGTATTAGTCATCCTAAATTGAAAAGCAGAAACTAAAGAAATGATAATATTTGGAGAAAAATTAAATAAAACAAAATACGGTGAAGATACAATAGCAGATTATCAAACACTAGTCACTATCTATGTCTTCTTCAAACTCCTCGTCTTCGTCTTCGTCCTCATCCTCCTCAGTTTCCTCGCTTTCATATTCATCGTCTGTGGATTCTATTTGGATTTCATGATGCTCTTGCAATAAACCATCATCAATGGGTTCATCCATTTCCATAACATCTCCATTTGG